ATAAAGCTTATTAAACTGGACCATACTGTTTTCCAGTCTGAAACATAAAGGAAAAAAAATGCTATCTAAGTGTCTATATGGCTGTCACTTTGGAATTGTATAATACATAACTCTCAGCTGACCTAGAAGTGCTTCTGAGACCAGGCCTCATTTGTGTTTTGTTGTATCCTCAGTTATATAAACCATGGGGAACAAACGGAGAAAGGGAAAGGACTTCAGCTGATAGCGGAGTGATTCATAAATCAGTCTCATAGATGGAAAACTAAGGTCCACAGAGATTCATTGTCCATGACCCATGATGAATTAATTTCTTTATTCAATAAAGCTATATTTAGTATTATAAGTATTATAGTATTATAAGGTATATTAATTATCTATTACTGCATAACAAATTACCTTAAAACTTGGTGGCTTAAACAACACACATTCATTATCTCATGCATTCTGTGGGTCAGGAAATCTAGGGTATGACTTAGCAAGATCCTGCTTCAAGGTCTCTCACAAAGCTGCAATCCAGGTGTCTACCAGAGCTGGAGTCTCATCTGAAGGTCAACTGAGGAAAGATCCACTTTCAACCTCACACAGTTGTTGGTAGGATTTAGTTATTTGCAGACCATTGGGTGAAATTCTTTTTCTTGCTGGATGTTGGCCGAAGTCCACCCTCAGTTCCTTACCACACAGCCTCTGACATGGCATATTGCTTCATAGAAATATACAAAGCGAGAAAACAATAGTCTGCAAGCAAGATGAAGTCATAATCTTTTGTAACCTAATCCCAGAAGTGTCATCCCCATCAACTTTGCCACATTCTACTTGTCAAAAGCATGTCAGCAGTCCAGCTCACACTCAGCGGGAGGAGATTATCCAAGGACATGAATACCAGGAAGTGGGGATCTGTCTTAGGCAGTTTGGGCTGCTGTGACAAAAGACCATAGAGTGGGTGGCTTCAACTACAGACACTGATTTCTCACAGTTCAAGGGGCTAGGAAGTCCAAGGTCAAAGTGCTGGCGACTCAGTGCCTGGTGAGGCCTCTCTTCCTAGTTTGCTGAGGGGGCTCTGGTCTCTTCCTCATATAAGGGCAGTGATTCCATCATGGGGACTCAGCGGTCATAACCTCATCTAAACCTAATTACCTCCCAAAGGCTTCACCTCCAAATACCTTCATATTGGGAACTCAGGCTTCAATATATTAATTTTAGGGAGTAATAGGGGGAAAAAACCTTTTCCCATACATTCATACACTTCTTTTCTGACACCAGATGTATGGATTTGACTCAAACCAGCCAATTCTCCAAGTTTCCAGACACTACCTGGGGGTCCTACAATTAAGTTATGGCACTACCTAACTCAGTCCCACAAGACTGCCCCCCACTTCAGATGCCAATTGCAAGGAGTGGGTCCCAACTTGGCTACAAATTGGGGGTTCCCACAACCCTCTCCTTTGGTTTGATAATTTGCTGTAACAGCTCCCAGAACTCAGGGAAACACTTACACTTACCAGTTTATTATAAAGGACATAGGCGTGGCTAAGCATGGTGGCTTACACCTGTAATCCCAGCACTTTGGGAGGCTGAGGCAGGAGGATCGCTTGAGCCTAGGAGCTCAAGACCAGCCTGAGCAACATAGTGAGACCCCATCTCAATTCAATAATTAAAAAAATAAAACTAAAAGGCTATAGGTGAACTGCAGATGAAGAGATACATAGGGTAAGGTCAGGAAGGATCCTGTACACAGGAGCTTCTGTTCTTGTGGAGTTTGCCATACCTGGCACAGATATGTATTCACCAACCCAGAAGCTCTCCAAATGGCATCTTTTAGGAATTTTAATGATGGCTTCATTACATAGGCATGATTGATTATTAACTCAATGTCTAGGCTCTCTCTCCTCCGGATGTGGGGCTGTGGGACTGAAAGTTCCAAGCTTCTAATCGTGGCTTGGTCGTTCTTGTGACCAACCCCCATCCTGAAGCTATCCAGAAACCTACCAAGAGTTGTCTCATTAGAACAAAAGATGCTCTGGTCACCCAGAAAATTCCCAGAGAGTTGCTCTGTGCCGGGGCAGAGACCAAGTGTCACAGGGGTATGCAAACATTGAGTGCATAGCAGAATCATTGAGGTCCATCTTTGTAAGCTGTCTACAAGAGTTGGTACATATATCTAGCTTTCTTGTTCTCAGCTATAGCTTTTTCTACTAGACCAAACCATCTGATGTGTGGCTATGAAACACTAATATGCTCAGTGTGGTGGGCTGAAGAATGGCCCTCCAAACATATTCATGATCTAATCCCTAGAATCTGTCAGTACGTTACCTTAGATGGCATAGGAAATTTTGCAGATATGATGAAAGATTTTGTAATAGATTATCCAGGTGGGACCAATGTAATCACAGGGTCCTTAGGCAGGAGGATCTGAGTCAGAAAAGACGATGTGACAATGTAAACAGAGGGAGGATGGAGAGGTGATGAAGGAAACAGAGGGAGGAAGGAGAGGTGCTGACGGAAACAGGGAGGAAGGAGAGGTGATGGTGGAAACAGGGAGAAAGGAGAGGTGATGAAGGAAACAGAGGGAAGAGGGAGAGGTGATGAAGGAAATAGGGGAGGAAGGAAGAAGAAGTAATGAAGGAAACAGAGGGAGGAGGGAGAGGTGATGAAGGAAACAGGGAGGAAGGAGAGGTGATGAAGGAAACAGGGAGGAAGGAGAGGTGATGAAGGAAATAGAGGGAGGAGGGAGAGGTGATGAAGGAAACCGGGAGGAAGGAGAGGTGATGATGGAAACAGAGGAAAGAAGGAGAGGTGATGATGGAAATGGAGGAAGGAGAAGTGCTGATGGAAACAGGGAGATAGGAGAGGTGATGGAAACAGAGGGAGGAGGGAGAGGTGATGATGGAAACTGAGGAGGGAGAGGTGAAGAAGGAAACAGAAGGAGGAAGGAGAGGTGATGAAGGAAGGAGAGGTGATGAAGGAAACAGAGGGAGGAAGGAGAGGTGATGGAGGAAATAGAGGGAGGAGGGAGAGGTGATAAAGGAAATAGAGGGAGGAAGGAGAGGTGATGAAGGAAACAGGGAGGAGGGAGAGGTGATGATGGAAACAGTAGGAGGAAGGAGAGGTGATGAAGGAAACGGAGGAAGGAGTGGTGATGATGGAAACAGGGAGGAAGGAGAGGTGATGATGGAAACAGAAGGAGGAAGGAGGGGTGATGATGGAAACAGGGAGGAAGGAGAGGTGATGAAGGAAACAGAGGGAGGAAGGAGGGGTGATGATGGAAACAGGGAGGAAGGAGAGGTGATGATGGAAACAGAGGGAAGAAGGAGAGGTGATGATGGAAACAGAGGAAAGAAGGAGAGGTGATGATGGAAACAGAGGAAGGGGAGGTGCTGATGGAAACAGGGAGGAGGGAGAGGTGATGATGGAAACAGGGAGGAAGGAGAGGTAATGAAGGAAACAGGGAGGAGGGACAGGTGATGATGGAAACAGGGAGGAAGGAGAGGTGATGAAGGGGGATGAAGGAAACGAGGGAGGAAGGATAGGTGCTGACGGAAACAGAGGGAGGAGGGAGAGGTGAGGAAGGAAACAGAGGGAGAAGGGACAGGTGCTGATGGAAACAGAGGGAGGAGGGAGAGGTGATGACGGAAACAGAGGGAGGAGGGAGAGGTGATGAAGGAAACAGAGGGAGAAGGAACAGGTGCTGATGGAAACAGGGAGGAGGGAGAGGTGATGGTGGAAACAGAGGGAGGAGGGAGAGGTGATGAAGGAAACAGGGAGGAGGGACAGGTGCTGATGGAAACAGAGGGAGGAGGGAAAGGTGATGATGGAAACAGAGGGAGGAGGAAGAGGTGATGGAAACGAGGAAGGAGAGGTGATGAAGAACACAGAGGGAGGAGGGAGAGGTGATGATGGGAACAGAGGGAAGAAGGAGAGGTGCTGACGGAAACGGAGGAAGGGGAGGTGCTAACAGAAACAGAGGGAGGAGGGAGAGGTGCTGATAGAAACAGAGGATGGAATGGTGTGGCTGCAAACCAGGGCATATGGGCAGCTGCTGGGAGGTTGAAAAGGCAAGGAATGGATTCTCCCCTTGAGCCTCTAGGAGGAACTTGGCTCCGCTAACACCTTGAGTTTAGATCCATAAGCCCCACTTAGTACTCCTGACCTCCAGAACTAAAAGATAATAAATTTATGTTATTTTAAGCCACTAGGTTTGTGGTAATTTGTCCCAGCAGCAATAAGAAACTAATATAGCCGGGTGCGGTGGCTCACACCTGTAATCCTGGCACTTTGGGAGGCCAAGGCGGGTGGATCACGAGGTCAGGAGATCGAGACCACCCTGGCTAACACGGTGAAACCCCGTCTCTACTAAAAAATACAAAAAATTAGCCGGGTGAGGTGGCAGGCGCCTGTAGTCCCAGCTACTCAGGAGGCTGAGACAGAAGAATGGCTTGAACCCAGGAGGCGGAGCTTGCAGTGAGCCGAGATCACGCCACTGCACTCCAACCTGGGTGACAGAGTGAGACTCCGTCTCAAAAAAAAAAAAAAAAAGAAACTAATATATTCACCAAAAGTCCTTGAGGAATCCCACTTGTAGAATTTTTGAAGGAATTAGGAGCTTACATAGAAGGTATAGGATAGTGGGCTTCTGAGGGCTTTTCCTGCCCTCTGGTAACTCTGAAACATAATTTACATTATTGGAGTCTTTCTGTTTTTAGGAAATTGTTCCTAGTTTTCTTCAATACTAAATCCTATCAATATTAAACAGTTTTTTTAAAAAACATATTTGGTTAGTTAAAGGTAGACCTAGGTCTCACATACTCTTCAAAATAAAACAAAAACATGATATTTAGCAGATGACACTAAAGCTTCCATTTTCAAAGCTGGTTGCTTGTTTATTTGTACCTCAGGAGTGGAAATACTGGCTGAGATGAAAGTACCTGGCACAAATCGCTTTTCCTCCTTGGTGTTTCACAGCCAGATGTTGTGAAATTCTTTTGTTTTTCTTTTTTCTCTAGTGCCTGGAAACCTTGGCTGCTACAAGGATCATGGAAACCCACCTCCTCTAACTGGCACCAGTAAAACGTCCAACAAACTCACCATACAAACTTGCATCAGTTTTTGTCGGAGTCAGAGGTTCAAGGTGATGACTCTGTGGCTATGTAACTATAGAAAAATGTAAAGATGTAAATGCATTTTGCTCGGATCACTTAAAAATAAGTGCTAAGTAAAATAAGCCAGACACAAAAGGCCACCTATTATATGATTCCACTTATATGAATCATCTAGAATAGGCAAATCCATAGAGATAGAAAGTAGGTTAGTGGTTGCCAGAGGGTGGGAGGCGGGAGGAATTGGTACTAACTGCTAATCAACACAGAGTTTCTTTTCTGGGTTATAAATGTTCTGGAATTAGATGGCGGTGACTGCACAACACAGTGACTACATCAATCACCACTGAAACATACACTGAAACAGTGAATGTTATGTTATGTGAATTACATTTCAGTTTTTAAAAAACCTAAAATAACTAAACTTCTAGAAAAATAAACAGAAAATCCTAAAATATTGGGTTAGACAAGGATTTCTAAATTGGACACAAAAACTAATCATTTAAAAAAGTATGGTAAATTGAAGTTATCAGTATTAAAATATTATCTTCAAAAAATAGAGTTAAGAATATGAAAGGCAGGCCACAGACTAGGAGAAAGTAGTTGTTAAATATATATCTGATAAAGGACTTGTATACAGAATATATAAAGAACTCTTATAGCTCAATAATATGACAACTTGATTTTGAAAATTAGCAAAAAATTTGAAGAGACATTTTATCCCCCCAAAATACATAAATGACCAATAAACATATGAAAAGATGCTCAGCATCACCAGTTGTCAGGGAAATACAAATTAAAACCACAGTGAGATACCACTGCACACAACTTCAGGATGTCTGAAGTTAATACTGAAAATACGAAGAATTGATAAGGATGTGGAGCAACTGAAACTCTCATAGACTGCTAGCAAGAATGTAAAATGCTACAGCTTCTTTGAAGAAAGATCTTAAATTTTCTTTCAAAGTTAAATATGCACACCTTAAAACTCAGCAATATCACACCTGGATAGTTACCCAAGATAAATGAAAACCTGTGTTCACACAAAGACTTATACATGAATGTTTATAGCAGCATTATTCATAATAGCTCCAAACTGTAAATAGTCTAAATGTCCATTAACTGATGAATGGAGAAACAAAGTACAGTATATCCATACATACTGTGGAATACCACTCAGCAATAAAAAGAAGAGACATATTAAGACATACTGGCCAGGTGCAGGGGCTCATGGCTGTAATCTCAGCACTTGGGGAAGCCGAGGTGGGTGGATCACGAGGTCAGGAGTTCGAGACCAACCTGACCAACATGGTGAAACCCTGTCTCTACTAAAAATACAAAAATTAGCCGGGCATGGTGGTGCATGCCTATAATTCTAGCTACTCAGGAGGCTGAGGCAGGAGAATCACTTGAACACAGGAGGCGGAGGTTGCTGTAGTGAGCCGAGATCACGCCACTGCACTCCAGCCTGGGCAACAGAGTGAGACTCTGTCTCAAAAAAATAAATGAATAAATAAAAGACATACTGTTATACACAACATGGATGAATTTCCTAAACAGTAGGCTAGTTGAAAGAACTTAAACACAAGACTACATACTGAACTCAAAATGGATCCCAAATCTAACAGTAAAATGTAAAACTATAAAACTTCTAGAAGAAGATATAAGAGAAAATCTTCATGACTTGAGTTTAGGCAAAAAGTTCTTACATGAGACACCAAAAGCATGACCCATGATGAGAAGAAATTGGTACATTTTAATTTGGACTTCATAACAATTTAAAGATCTTGCTCTGTGAAAGATATTTTTAGGAGGATGAAAAGACAAGCTATATCCTGGGAGAAAATATTTGCAAATCACATATGTGACAAAGGACTTGTATCCATAATGTGTAAAATTAAAAAAAAAAAAAAAAAAGCCAAACAACTCAACAGTTAAAAAACAAACAAACAAAGCAATTTAAAAATGGGCAAAAGACCTGAACAGAAGATATACAGATGGCAAATAAGCACATGAAAAGAAGCCAGAGAAGATATACAGATGACAAATAAGCACCTGAAAAGATAGTCATCTGGGCATGGTGACTCAAGCCTGTAATCCCAACGCTTTGGGAGGCCAAGGCAGGAGTATCACTTGAGGTCAGGAGTTTGAGACCAGCCTGGCCAACATGGCAAAACCCTGTCTCTACTAAAAGTACAAAAATTAGCTGGGCGTGGTAGCACACCTGTAGTTCCAGTTACTTGGGAAGCTGAGACAGGACAATTGCTTGCACCTGGAATGCAGAGGTTGCAGTGAGCCAACATCATACCACTGTACTCCAGCCTGGGTGACAGAGTGAGATTCCATCTCAAAAACAATAGAAAACAAACAAAGATAAAGAAGACGATATAGTCAACATCATTAGCCATTAAGGTAATGCCAATTAAAACTATAATGAGATACCACTACATACCTATTAAAATGGCTAAAATAAAATATACTGAAAATAACAAGTGCTGACAAGGATACAGAGCAACTAGGACTTTCATATATTGTTGGTGCAGATCTAAAATGGTACAATCATTCTGGAAAAGTTTGGCACTTTTTAATAAAGTTAAATATACATCTACCATATGACCTAGTAATTCTATTCCTAGTTACTACCCTAGAGAAATTAAAACTTATATTCACATAAAAACCAGTACACAAATGCTTATAGCAGTTCTAGTCATAATTATGAATAACTAGAAACAGCCCAACAGATAAACAAGCTGTGATACTCTGCTCAGCAATAAGGAGTAAACTATTGATACAAACACCAATTTGGATGGATCTCAAAGCCATTATGCTGACTGAAAGAAGCCAGTCTCAAAAAGATTACATACTGTATGATTCTATTTATGTGACATTTTTGAAAAGACAAAACTATAGTAATGGAAAATGGGTCAGTGGTTGCCAGGGATTCTGGGGTAGGGCACCTATAAAGCAATAGTGCGAAGAAAATTACTGGGGTAATGCAGCTGTTCTGAATCCTGATTGTACTGGTGGTTGCACAAATCTTTTTTTTTTTTTCTTCTTTAAGACAGTCTCATTGTGTTGCCCAGGCTGCAGTGCAGTGATGCAGTCTCGGCTCACTGCAACATCCACCTCCTGGGTTCAAGCAAATCTCCTGCCTCAGCCTCCCAAGCAGTTGGGATTATAGGCACCCACCACCACGCCTGGCTAATTTTTGTGTTTTTAGTAGAGGTGGGGTTTCACTTTGTTGGCCAGACTGGCCTCTAACTCCTGACCTCAAGTGATCCACCTGCCTCAGTCTCTGAAAGTGTTGGGATTACAAGAGTGAGCCACTGTGCCCGGCTGTGGTTGCACAAATCTATACAAGTGTTAAAATTTACAGAACTATATGCCAAAATACTATATAGTAATGTAAAAACAAAGTTGTAAAATGGGGCCTATAATGTGTTTGCTTTGAGGGTTAGCTATAAAGCACTCACTACTTGGCACACAGTAAACAGTCAATAAAGTGTTTAGCTGTTACTCATGTTTGAAGTTTATGAGATTTTCTCCCCCTTAAAACTTACTTAAGTGCAGCAGAAACACAAACATTAAAAAGTGATGCTCACCGACAGGGAAACACATTGGTGGCTGCGTACCTATTGGTCAGCTTGAAATTAAGTGTTTCGAGAGTGGAAGAAGGGGGAGGTCCCAGAGGAAGGGACCCTGGGAAGATGAGCCTGATTGCTTGCTGGAAGCCCACCCTACCAGGCTCCTTCAGGCCATCTGACATCCCTGATGATGCTTACCGTGTGCTGCTTCTCTGTTGTGGCAGTTTGCTGGGATGGAGTCAGGCTATGCTTGCTTCTGTGGAAACAATCCTGATTACTGGAAGTACGGCGAGGCAGCCAGTACCGAATGCAACAGCGTCTGCTTTGGGGATCACACCCAACCCTGTGGTGGCGATGGCAGGATCATCCTCTTTGATAGTGAGTATGCCCTGTGCCCATCACTGCCCAAGCCACAGGAACCCTTAGACCAGAGCAACAAGCCTGCCCACCCTTCCTCCCTTCTATATATTCATTCATTCACTTGGCAATAGGCAATACTTGTGACTAGACCCTGGGAATACAGCACAGTGCATGAAGACTCAGCCCCTGCCTTCTGGAAGGGAGAACAGACATTTAACAAGGGATTAGCTACAGTCATGCCAAATGGTTTGAAGCAACGTGGTCTGTTGTGTGATGCTTAGACAACCTAGAAATGATAACCTTTCCAATTTTACATAGACACTAATATAATAATCCGGTATCAGCTTTATTATCTCTTGCTTTAATATAATTTCCAAACCCTTTTGACTTTTTTTTTTTTTTTTTTTTTTTTGCATTTGGGATTTATATATTATTGTGATACACCTGAGAAGAGAGCGTAGTTCTAAGTTGTTTTTTCAGGCCTAGCATTGGGTTTGCCCTGACCCCCACCTCCTCTCTAAACTGCCGCATTTGTGAGATGCTGGCCAGGAGCAGAGTGTGTTCAGAATGGGAGTGGGTCCAAGGCCTTGACCCCACCAACATCATGTCCTAACCACTGAGCCAACTGATTCCTCATCGTAATCCACCAGCATCCTCTCAGTAGCAGTGAGACTTTATGAGAGTTACAGCAACAGTGCAGAACCAGATTTCAAGATAATGGAGACAGACAAAAAAAAAAAAAAAAGGCTCAAGATTACCAAGAAATATTGCAGTGTCTGGTGTCTTTGGCCTTTAGGCTAGAGGAAGTGCACTCCTGGCATCTCAACCAGGCAGCATGGCTAGTTTTGAGCAAAAATGACATATGGTTTATTAGTTTCCTAGGACTGCCATAACAAATTATCATCAAGTGGGTGGCTTAAAACAAAGCAAAACAAAATTCATTCTCCGACAGTTCCAGAGGCTAGAAGTCCAAAATCGAGGTGTCAGCAGGGCTGTGCTCTCTCCAAAGTCTCCAGGGAAGCCCTCCTCACTTCTGGTGGTTGTGGGCAATCCTTGGCATTTGTTGGCTGCACCACTCCAGTCTCTGCCTTCTCCTTCACATAGCCTTCTTCCCTCTATGTGTGTCTGTGTGTCCATGTCTCTGTGTGTCTCCTTAAAAGGAACCAATCATTGAATTTATGGCCCACCTTAATCTAATATAGCCTCATCTTAACTCAGTCACATAACATTCACAGGTACCAGGTGTTAGGACTTGAGCATATCTTTCTAGGGGACACAATTCAGCCACTATATATGGTGACTATAAAACCCAGCCAAGGTTTATAACTGAGCCTTTTCATGTTATAGCTTAGACACTGTCTGAAGTGTGTTTGTATTTGGGGTGGGAAGACAGGATTAGTGAACAGAACTTGCAGTCAATTGGTTTTTTTAGCTAAGTGTGCTCATTGGAGACTGCCAGTTGATTCCTATACATTCTGTTATGTCCGGACCAATGCTTAGTTTGATACCTTTGTTTTGGCTAAAGACTGAACTTTGGCTAATGATTAAGGAATCTTGCTAATGCTTAGTTGGCAAATAACTATGCACTACACATCTATTTAACCTTTTATTCTAGAGTTCAGTATTATAAGATTCTCTGCCTTAACACTCTAACTCAGGAGAGTAAGTTTTCTGAACTTGCAAAATGCCTGGTATACTCTTAAGTGAAAAAACAAAGGAAATAAATGTTTCTTGAGTACCTAGTATGCATGAAGGCTTTATCTAAATTATCATATTAGGTCCTCTTGGCACCCTTCTGAAGTAGGGGTTATTGTGATTACTCTCATTTCACAGAAGAGAGCCATATGACATGGACAGGATAAATAACTTGCTGGGATCCACACTGCCAGGAAGCCACTAGAGAGGTGCTAGAGAGGAAAGAGGAGTAGTGTGAGGGTTTACTACCTGTTTTTTGACTTTAAATAGAATGTAATGTCAGTTTAAAAATGGAAAATGAGGCTGGGCGCGGTGGCTCAAGCCTGTAATCCCAGCACTTTGGGAGGCCGAGGCGGGTGGATCACGAGGTCAGGAGATCGAGACTATCCTGGCTCACATGGTGAAACCCCGTCTCTACTAAAAATACAAAAAAACTAGCCGGGCGTGGTGGCGGGCGCCTGTAGTCTCAGCTACTTGGGAGGCTGAGGCCGGAGAATGGCGTGAACCCGGGAGGCGGAGCTTGCAGTGAGCCGAGATCACGCCACTGCACTCCAGCCTGGGAGACACAGTGAGACTCCGTCTCAAAAAAAAAAAAAAAAAAAAAAAAAAAAAGAAAATGAGTGTTTGCAGATATATGGAGAAACTGGAACCCTCATACATTGCTGGTGGGAATGTAAAATGGTGCAGCTGCTTTGGAAAACAGTCTGGCCAGCCTGGCCAACATGGTGAAACCCCGTCGCTACTAAAAATACAAAAATTAGCTGGTTGTGGTGGCACGTGCCTGTAATCCCAGCTACATGGGAGGCTGAGGCATGAGAATTGCTTGAACCCAGGAGATGGAGGTTGCAGTGAGCTGAGATCATGCCACTGCACTTCAGCCTGGCGACAGAGTGAGACTCCGTCTCAAAAGAAAAAAAAAAGTAAACAGTCTGGTATTTCCTCAAAACATGAAACAGAGAGTAACTGTATGACCCAGCAGTTCCACTCTTAGGTATATACCTGAGAGAACTGAAAACACGTTTCCACAAAAAACGTACATACCAATGTTCCTAGCAACATTATTCATAATAGCCAAAAAGTGGCAGCAAACCAAATGTCCATCAGCTGATGAATGGATAAACCAAGTGGATATCCATATGATGGAATATTATTCAACCATTAAAAATAAATAAAGTACTGAGGCATCCTACAACATGGATGAACCTTGAAACCATTATCCTAAATGAAAGAACCAGATGCAAAGGGCTATATATTTTATGATCTCATTTATATGAAATGTCCAGAATAGGCAAATCCACACAAACAAAAGCCAGATTCCTGGTTGCCAAGGCCTGGGGGAAAGGGAAGAATATGGAGTGACTGCTTAATAGGTACGGATTTTCTTTTTAGAGTGATAAAATGTTCTGGAATTAGATAGGGATGATGATTGTATAACATTGTGGATATACTAAATACCACTGATTCATATATAGATAGTCCTTAACTTAGGAGAGTCAACTTATGATTTTTCAACTCTACAGTAGGTTTATTAGAGTGTTAAATGCATTTTTGACTTTGATATTTTCAATTACAATGGATTTATCAGGACATAGCCCCATTATAAGTCAAGGAACATCTGTACTTTAAAATGGTTAAAATGGTGGATTTTAGATCAAGAAAAAATAGAATATAGTTTTTATAAGATAATCTTTCATTTAGCACATTTTTATTGGGCATCTGCTGTGGGGTAGATAAAAGTATGTTTTCTTTAGTATAGAGGCTTTACTGGAGGTGTCAAATAGAAATAATCTGGATTAAATGTTAAATACAGCACTGTGGAAATCGTCTGTAAAGTGCACACCAAGTAGCATCCTTGGTACTACTAGGAAAGCGTACTGACCCTCACATAAAGGTGCACTGAAGTGAATTAATTATAACAACAGTTATTGCTCTTTATCGAGTGTTTGTCATGTGCTAGACTTGATGCCAAGTGCTTTTGTGTATTTTATGTTATTTAATCCTTGTAGCAACCCTGTTGATAAGAAAACTGTGGATCAAGATGAAGTGATTTGTCTATGCTAGTAAGTGCCGGAGCCAGGATTCAAACCCTGGTTTGCCACATTTGAAATATTTCTATTTTCAGCAGCTAGAATCCCTTTTATTAACAATAGTAAAACAGATCATAATAATGGATGCAGTTTTATGCTTTAAAGTTATTGAACAAAGTATACCCAGTTCTGATTATTACCACATTGGCCCCTTGTGCAGCTCTCCATAAACTGCCCTTTCTGGCTTGCATTTGCTTAAGGACTAAGAAAGTTGGCGTTCTGAGAGGCTGCTCACGCCATCCTCCAGAGGCCCAGATGCGTGTGGTCTACAGGACCCCTGACAGCAGCCGGTTCTATAACTCACACCCCATTGCTCTGCTGAGAAAGGTACAAAATGCAGCACTGTATAAATAATCTCTAAAGGTGCATCTAGAGGCTGGCGCGGGGACGCACGCCTGTAATTCCAGCTACACTGGAGGCTGAGGCAGGAGAATCGCCTGGGAGGCAGAGGTTGCAGTGAGCCGAGATCTGAGCTAAGATCACACCACTGTACTCCAGCCCAGACGACAGAGTGACACTCCATCTCAAAAAAAAAAAAAAAAAAAAAACAGGTCCATCTAGTAGAGAGTAAAATAGTTCAAACAGCTCAAGTACCACCTCATGGAAATCCTTATGACTCATTGAATAAGGCTGAGCACTTTGGAAATGGTAACTACAGACTGTCCCATGATTTGGGAGGGAGACGATGTCTTCCTAAAGATATTGGAGAAGTTAGATGGTGAGAAATGACCAGATTACAGTCTGTCTCCCAGAACGTGAGGCCCCGCTACCAGCGTGGCTCACATGTGGGTCTCAGTCAGTGTCAGCGAGGTCTTCCTGTCCTCTGCTGGTTAGAGGAGCACCCAGGCTCCTCTGCAGTAGAAGCGCTCAGGCTGTGTTTGCTCTTCGGGAGAGAGACGACGGGGCTAGTGGGGGTGGAGGGTGAGGGGCAGCTGGAAGAAGCTGTCTGCTCAGTCATCATTGCCACATCAAGTAATTTGTCACAGACTCTCTGGCTGATTTTTCAGCAAGCTCTCATGGACTTGCAGAGGTCACTGAGGTGAGCTGTGTACTGTGTGTAAACACAACACTGATGGGGGCTTCAGAACCTCTGCTACCCCTGGGATTATAATTTATTGAATTAACAGAACCAAATAGAAGAACATGTAAGCCAGAGTCAACAGAGGGTTATAGGAATGACCCGGGCTAGCCTCTTGGGACTCTCTTGGCTTCTAGGCCCTGAAGGGAGGGGTCAGT